ATATAAGTAAGTAATTTACCATATCCTTGATGGGAGATGGCCGATAGCCGCTAGCCAATAATGACATCCCTGCTGTTGTACACACTACTTTGTTTTGGCATTCTCTATTGTTCACCTAGAAGAGCACATGTGGCACGTTCCATCAGGGCTGTTGTATGGACAGTTATGTTTGAAGACAATACTCTTCTCCATCTCGTCAGAAATGTTGAACTCCAAAAATGTATCTTCTAGAATCTAGACACAAAGTGTTTTGTTTTAGCACACTTTGAAACTTCATGTTTCCACATCACACTTGTATGAGTTGCATACTGGACCAATCCCAATTATCTGTGCACATTTAAACAAAAATTCTTCATTTGGTTTGACTCACCAAAATACATCGTGTGTGTCACCTACGTATTGAATGCATTTCCCTGGTTATAAAACATTTGCGTAGCAGTCTTTTTCTTTTTACTTGTCTTTTGTTGGCACATTACCACCACCTGTACATCAGTGGAAGAGTGTGAAACAGGATTGTGTGTCACCCACATGATCGAATGTGCATGACATAAACACAATGGGGACCCATTATAGAAAGAAATAGCTCCATAGTCATAACAGAGGGGGAAAACCTTGAGAAACATCCGTACATGAATGTAAAAGCTGCATAGAATACATATATAATATAAGTGACAACAACCATAACATATTTTCAAATTGATAATATTAAGAAATATTGTGGATTTCACAATGCTTTGTTAATGCTCCAGGTTTGCAGATTTTATCTTGTGAAAATATTTGCATAATGCACAAAGAGTGTAGTTTAATGTATATGGCAATAACATCAAACCAATTTAGTGAGAAAATGCAACATAGCACACCATGTATATGTGACATAAATATTCATCTTCACAGATTCCCCACACGTTATGCTAAATAAAGCATTGTGACAGTTCTACAAGATGGATCGTCCACAAATGCGTTAGAATAATATTTCCAAAAGCTTCTCTCACATCTGTAAATTAAAGAACTATGAACGGCTATTTCCAAGAAAACCAAATACTTTTGTTTAATTGATTTTATACTTTATTTTCAATCCAGAAACATTCAACAGAGCCTCATTTTTGATGCCCTGATCTATATTTATGCATGAGGGATTTTCTCATCCAATCCCCTCCCACCAGATTGAAACTGGCGACCTTCCAGTTGCTGGCCCGCTCTCTAACCTCCAGGCTACTGCGCTGCTGTGAGGAGGAGAAACACAACTGTTGCTATCTACACATAGATATCTTATCTTTAAGGTGTTTCAATGCTTCAATACCTAAACGTTTCCCCTCTGTTGACCTTGTTAATACAGTAGGCTATGTTTAAGTGTTGTAAAGTACAACCTAGGTGGATGAGAGAGATGAAACGGAGAGAGCTGTCCGTGGTGCTGGAATCAGAGCACAGCACGTGGCCTGGTGCGTTACTATGGCTACAGCTGTCTGTATCCCTAAAATAACCATACACACACATAGTACACACACATAGTAACCTTATAATAAAAACGTCAATCTGTTGCGGTTCCTAAATACAGCAGTCAGATTGATAAAGATGAAGAAACGTTGAGAGCAACAGTGTTTCTTCTTCTTCTTCTTTTTTTTCTTCTTCTTCTTCTTCTTCTTCTTCTTCTTCTTCTTCTTCTTCTTCTTCTTCTTCTTCTTCTTCTTCTTCTTCCCTGCACCGTGCACATAATAAAACGACCATTTCCTTTTCCCTGTATTATACTGAGTCCTTTGTGTTTCGAGACGTGCTTTTGAGAGGTTGGCTTTCTGTCCTTTGTGAAGTGCTTTGATGCAGATTGACTGACACACAATTCAATTTGCACAGCGTGAAACAAAGCTACACTTGGCCACTTTGCATATTTGTGGCTACATGTCTGAGGTTTGATGAGGGAACTGCCATCGTATCCCTGCCTTTGAAAATACATGTGAGAAAAGTGGACGATGCTCTCCACAAGTTGCCTCTGAGCAAGGCTCCCTGAATGTTGCACTGGAGCTGTTTCGTGCTTTAAATTCAGAACTGTGTTTGTTCCGTGCAGTCTTTACATTAATATGTTTTTTGATACAGAAAATGTGTTGTGTAAAGAAGCATTTTTAAAGCAAAAGTTTTACATTTTGGATGAGAGGATGATTACTGCGATCATTTCCGTCTGGTATATAGCAGGCTAAAGTCAGTGGCTAGTTAGCTTAGCTTAGCATAATGACTGAAATTGAGAGGAAGCAGCTAGCCTGGCTCTGTCTAAAGCCGAGAAAATATACCAATTGCATCTTAAAAGCTCACTGATTTAGACTGCAGCTGTTTGAGGTGTTGTCAACAAAATTATCTCATCATTTAAGAATAAGTATGTTTTTAGGCATTATCGTTAATTAAAAACATTTTATCTTCTGGTAAGGAAACATTTCTGCAACTTCTGATTGGTTTACAGCAATCTGCTCTACATGAATGGAGACCTTTGTGCCGTAAGTTTTAATGCACCTTCTGTGGAAATCTTATACTCCACTGTCATCTGCATGCTGCTGTGAAATGTTCTGACTTTTTTTATTTGAATGTCTTTTCTGTATACATACTGTACATGCAAGAGTAATATCGACAATATTCTACAGATGTTGGTTCCCAGGGTGAAAACTCTTACATCTGCTGGAGAAGGAGCTGAAACTTTCATGTAAAACCGTGCACTTCCTTATATATTTTTAAAAGCTTACATCAATGTGATTAAAGGTGTCACTCAGTGAGCTAGAGATGCTGCTATATGCAGATTTGATTAACTGTCTGTTGGATTTTAAGGGTTGTTGAAAAAGCGTATTCCCCCACATATAAAAGTATTGATGGTCGATGTTTTGGCAGGAACAGAGACACTCTGCTGGCAAGGGCTCCCTGCAAAACTCAAGATACAGCAGCAACTTAAACTTAAAGTGGACCTATCATGCAAAATGCACTTTTGTACGTCTTTTATAAATGAATATATGTGTCCCCGGTGTGTCAGGGAACTCACCAAGTGTCAGAAAACACAACCCTCTCTCTTTTCTTCCATACCTAAATCTTTTAAAAACTGGGCTACAACGAGCGGACACAGATTCCATCCGAGTTGACGTCAGCCCGGAATAGTGTTGTTCACACGAGACGTGTCCGTTCACACGAGACCGCTCGAAAGCGCTGGAGATGCCGTAGTACATGTGTCAGGCCTGTAAGTGGCGCTGTAGTCCTGTCACAAAAGCAGCGAAGAAGACTTCTCACAGAATCAGCCCTTGCAAAAACAGGGCTGGAAAAGGGCAAATAGAAGCGAAATGAGGCATGGCTAAAATGCATGATCTGTTTGGTATTTTGAAAAAAAAACAAATAGACATGTTTTATATATGGCCCTACAATATATTTTTGAAATATAGCATGATAGGTCCACTTTAACTTTAAGTGACGTCAGCCCTAGATTCAGTATGCTTTAATGAACTAACAGCTTGAAAATATTTTCCTGCAAATGTGTGAAAATTACAGTCATGTTTTTGGAGGAACCATCTCTTTTATTCTTCAGTTAACAACAATTCTGAGGTGCATAAATGTGAAGTAAGCTTTGAAAGTGTTAGTTCGGCTGGTTGACTTTCCCTGGCTAGACAAAGAAAAGAGGACAAGATGTCAAAAAGAATCTGGATCAACTAAAAGGCGCCATGTTAACTTCAGTGTTTGGTCCCTGGTGGGACATATTTACCCAGAGTAACCTGGACCCTACAGTAGATGGACCTTTGATGTTGTACACTCAGTATGAGTTTTCAGGATGCTATACCCTGAGTGATAATCATTTCATTTCCACAATGATTATCTTTCAGAGTCATGGATTAATGGTGCGAGCTGTATACGAGGGTCCACAGCCCTCAGTGAGTCCTCCTCCATCCACAGCGAGGCCCTGTATCAACTGACCAAGGACGTGTCCTCAGTAGGACTGGAGCCCATGTCCTCTTGTAAAGAGGAGGTCTGCGCTGAGGAATCAGAGACTCTGCTGAAGGTAATTCAAGGACCACAGAAAGGACGAGTGTACAGAAAAACCACAAACAACAACATAATTAAGTACTTTTCCCCTAATTTGGGAACTAGTTTGGCATTAAAGCCTGCTCATACTCACTAGTCAAAAGTTAATCATGTAATATTTCCTGCATGGGTAATGGATTGCATAGCATTTCATCATTTCATGACTAAGCATAAAATAAAAAGGATCTCATTAAAATCTGTTATAATGATGGAGGACTCCGCTGTTCTGCAAGGTTTCTTTTTTCAAGATGTTTATTGTTGGTCTCTTTGAAAAGATAAATGTTAACTTGGATGTTTGGGAGCGTTGAAACCAAGAAGTGAAAACATGAGCTCAAGGTTAATGTTATTGCAGGGAAAATACTATTATAAGTCTGATATTAGTTTTATATGGTTTATATCTCTGTTGGGTAGAATGATTCCTCATTATGAGGAAGACAGAAATATAACTGGGACACATTTCTGTAGCAATGCTTCAGATACACTTTCTTACACTAGTTGCTTCTGTGACTGTGGCGTAGCAGAAAACTCAGGTCTCTCTCCAAGTAATATCAGTGGGCTGCTACCACACTGCAAAAAATACCAGTCTTCACCTGTCACTCTTTCAAATATGAGTAATATTTGTAATATATTTTGTTTAAACAGTAAAAGATCTCCTTGAAATGGCAAGTTGTTGGATCTATTTTTTCCATTCTGAAGGTGACATGTAGGGTGTATGTTTCATAAACAGAAACACATCTATAAACAGGTGAAAGCCCTCATAACATAATATAGATGTTTACAACCGTGACACAGATGTGCGTATGGAAAAAAGCCAACAAGAAATCAGAACGACATCTTTTAGCATCAAGACCACCTGACATATTGAAGACACTTTTTACAGTGTGGTATGCTCCGTGCCAAAGCGCGCGGCAGCTCCGGATCCCACAGTGTGAGAGATGGAGAGATGGTATCAGCAGCACGCGCTCAGCCTGCTCACATTATGCGCTGCCTCTGAAATCGGACACATCTTCTCCAACGGAACAATGCGCCGCGCTGCGCAGAGCCGCGGCTGCAGCAGACCTGTGGACTAACAGCGGGGAGCTCAGCTGGAGTTTAGGCATTATGGGGACGAAGGTGGTGATGGTGCATCTAGCTGCTTTTTACTGCGGAAACCACCAACTTGCACTCCCTCTCCACTCCTTCTTCTTCCTCTGAATCTGTGTGTGTTTGTTTAAAGCGCACCAGCATGCCGAACTCCCCAGCAGAAGACAAGATCCCAGTGAGTACACCATTATCCATCCTTTCCTGCACTGAGGATCGGTCATCCTCCCACTCTCACACTTTACATTTGGCCATGCTGTTAACAGTAAAGTATTCGGAGAGAGTTGGTTTAACTTACTACTGTTGTTTGACCCAACGACACGTGAAATTACTGTAAGGGAATCAGAAAACAGGAGAGGTTGAAAAAGATTTACAACCAAGTTGAATGAGTTGCCAAATCAAATTCCAATGCAAGTGGGACCAAACAACTTTATTTTGACTAATGGGAACTATAAAGATGCAGACAGAATTGGATACAGAGAAATGCACATCTTTTATTTTCTTTGAGTTATGTTGTGGTTGATTAAATGGGTACATGGTGCTGTCATTATCAATGATGAAGGAAGGTGTTGAGAACCTTTTACCAAAACAAGCATCTTAACATTAGGGTAATCATGCAGGTTGTCCAAGTCAGCAAACAGAAGGTAATGAGAAGCACTTCCACAACGTTTAATGGATATTAATATTGAATTGAGGACAGGTGCTAAGATGCAAAAAAATCATCTTTAGACAAGAGAAAAATCTAACAATTAATCTGGATGCACAGTCAGTTGTAGAACAGTTTTTAAGACCTCATTTTGGTTGATGTTGCTGGCATTGTGTTTGAAATCACTGCAATCCCATCATAACCAAACTTCTATAGTCAGTGGTATTTACATGTGGGATTTTTGGTGTATATTTTTGAGGGCACAATTCCAAACTGATAATTTTCAAAACAAATAAAATGGTGCTAAATTAACGTGGTTCATTATAACGTAAATATTATGGGATTTTGCACCTGGCCCATGTAAAAAATGATAAAAGGTGTAACTACTTCCATCCAACAAGTGCAAGGAAGATATCAGAATGTGGATGCCTAAGAGTTCCAATCAGTCTAATTAAATAAAACATTTTGGTTGATGTTGCTGGCATTGTGTTTGAAATCAATGCAATCCCATCATAACCAAACTTCTATAGTCAGTGGTATTTACATGTGGGATTTTTGGTGTATATTTTTGAGGGCACAATTCCAAACTGATAATTTTCAAAACAAATAAAATGGTGCTAAACTAACGTGGTTCATTATAACGTAAATATTATGGGATTTTGCACCTGGCCCATGTAAAAAATTATAAAAGGTGTAACTAATTCCATCCAACAAGTGCAAGGAAGATATCAGAATGTGGATGCCTAAGAGTTCCAATCAGTCTAATTAAATAAAACCACCTTTGTGAATGGACCATGGTGGGGCCTTTAAATATTTTAGCTAATCTGGCTATACAACTAACAGAGCATGTGGCTATATTAAATGACATCCAGATCTAAGATACATTTCACAGAGAGCCATGCCAAGTATGTGAGGGAAATCAGAGTTAGAATCCCAAGTTGACCAACTCAGGGCCAAATTCACTAAACCTGGAACACTAAGACAAAAAGTAACCATGAAATGCACCTTTAACTGCACTGGCAAGCACAAATAGTGTTTCGCTGCTCCTCTGCACTTATTTAAATTAGGTCATAAGCAGACATTTGGAGTATATTTGGCTCTTTTCCATGTAATTGAGCCTCGTTACATAAACAATCCAATTAAAAGTTACAGTGGCATTATGAGCGTCTTCAAAGGGAACTGAAGTAATTTATAGACTGGACTAATGGACTCTGAAGTGCATTCATAATGTCTGCTCAAACTCATTTGTTTTTTGGGCGTCTGGTAGGGTAAGACAGCTGTGTCATGAAAAATGAAGCCTCTTCAACAGACACTAGCTAGCATGCCATAGTGTAAACTGAAGCTTGTTTGCTACTGTTGCTAGTTTATCGAACTTCATTGACGTTTCTATAAACTGTATTTTACAGAAACATTACATCAAATTACAATATGATAACAATGTTACAACAACTTACAGTGATAATTGATTATATTTTGAATAGAATACACGTATCGGCATACAGTGCTTTATAGTGTTTTAGCTCACTGTAGCTAGCCGCCACACAACTTTAGTAGTGTAGTTATTTTTGCAGCAGGCAGCTGCTTTAACAAAAAAGCCACTGTCCACTACACATGGGCAACACAACAGAGCACTAAGCTGCTAAAGAGACAGATATTTGTACAGATTTTTCCTGGAGGTTGGTTGAGACCAAAGACTGAGCTAAAAGAGAGCACAAGACAACACTTTGCCAGGTAGCAAGAAAAACAACTATGCTAACTGTATGTAGCTTCTGGCTCTGGTTTGTTGACGAGCACAACTGTATGCTAACAAGTTCCCTGTATCAACCTAATGGTGACGGTATGTCGATGTTCACGACTTGTTTATGCGGCTTATACATCCGGGAGGGTCCCAGTTTGTGAATGGAGCAGAATTAACTTAGCACAGATGCACAACATCATATTGAAATGCTGTCCTTCTGATAAGTAAAAGCTGCTCTCTCCTCATGCCCAGAGCCTATAGAGTGTTCCCTCTTGTGTCCTCCATGTTTAGTCTCCCTCTGTCTAAATAAAGAATAAAACTGGCAAAGGTGAGCTGACTGCCCACTCTGCTGCTGGAGGTTCTCACTTCAGTGTTTTTGAGAACCTGCCAAAAGCCACTAGATGTTTAAGTTCATTCAAACAGTTATTACATAACTCCTGTGCTGCGTAAAGCTTCTGTGTATTTGGTCTTCAAACCATGTGTATGTGTGTAATTGATTGTGAGGATGTGCAGCATTATTGTATATGAGGATATTATGGAGACGATGGTTTGTTTACTCTAATAGTGAATTAGTGTGTATTTTTTTTAATACTTACAGCTGCATACTCTGTTCTTCATGACGCAATGAATAATGTGCGTCTTTACAATACAGATGGCTTCATGTGTACTTTTATTGTACGGTTGCATACTTAGGCTACTGTGTGTTTTTACAGCACCGCTGAATTCTTTGTTTTTTACTTTTACATCTCTCTCCCTGCAGGTGGTGGGCTCTGCTTCCAGTCCTCAGTGCAGCGAGGAAGGCCTTTGCTTCTCTGATGGCAGACGGAAAGTTGACTACGTTCTGGTCTTCCATCATCGACGGCACGGCTCTGTGCGATCTTTTGCCAGCAACTCAGTTTCACACGACAGGATATCCATTGTTTCCAATGGCAACTTTCCCACTGCGGCGGGCTCCGATGCAGCTGCAGGAAGAGGAGGCAGCAGCCCGGGGAGGGAGGCGGCGAGTGTCGGCGAGGTGTTCGTGGAGCTCGGGGGGGCAGGAGGAAACGATCTGACGGAGCCTGCTGACCATGAGATGGATCTGATCAGACAAGAGTTCGAGGCCAGCCTGCAGGAGGCCGGCCTGGAGATAGAGAGAGACAAAGAGGTGAGCCTGCATGTGTGTCCTCCCCTACTATCTTACAATTATGATTCAAAAAGCATTTTGTTTTCAAGGTCCCCTATCATGCAAAATGCACTTTTTTTTACGTCTTTTATACATAAATATGTGTCCCTGGTGTGTAAGGGAACTCACAAAGTGTCAGAATACAAAACCCTCTCTCTTTTCCTCCGTACCCACATCTCTAAAAACGGAGCTGATTCAGATTTGCTTCCAATATGATGTAATATCGGAAATGTGGGCTGGCTTTACACCCACGGCCCTATCAGAAACGTCGCTATCAGAAACAATGCACAATGTGTTTTGGACGTAATATGGTCTTTGTTTACATTAGCAAGCATCGCTAACACTCAGAGCTAACCTGTACTAGAGAAATCATGTGTAAAAAAGCAGGAAATAAAAAAAGGAACTTACCCTGTGGTAAACCCGCAAGAGAAAAAGCATTTGAGCTGTTACATAAATAATCCTTGATGTGGTTTTGAAAATTATATGGCGTTTCATCATGGCAGCATTTAGCTAGGTATATGCCATGTTTTTTATATATTTTTGATATATCTGAGACCCATGATATATGCCTAAAAATAGCATGATAGGAGATCTTTAATGAAGATGACAATTAGTGTCTGTTTGGTCACAAAACTTGTAATATAACTTCAGACATTAACGAGCAGCCTTTGATTTGATGCAAAGACTTGATGCTACAGTTTTTACTGACTACTGGATTTCTAAACCCTGACACAGGATCTGATGTAACTCAGTCTTGAGCTATTTGAGGTGAGCGCCTACATGGGAACTTGGCTCTGATAGTAGAGAGAAGATGTGGGTGAGACTCGATGTGTTGTGGAGGATCTAAGGTGGCTTTTAGAGTCACGATGAGGTTTCTATTAAACTTGCAATTCCCTTTTGCGCTTAATGTACCATGCTGCTCTGCCTGCCTTAATCACCTCGACAAAATAACAGTCAAAACCACATAAAAATGTGAGTGAGCTTTCGAGAGCACACAGTGCAGGCAGAATCTTGGCAAAAAGCACGATAAGATATTCCCCAGTATCTTCAGCTATTACGGGGCAGAAGTCAACAAAACAAATCCAACTCAATAGAAACTGAGTCGGCCAACTAAAGCACACAAACAAAACAATTCTCCTCATCCACAACTATGAAACAGCTTCACTTAAATATGTTTTTTTATTCATTTGGCCATCCACAATATAATCTCTTTTTTTTACCCTTATTTCTGCGTCAATTTGTATAAATAGCACTTTTTGTTATATTCCATGGAATGCTCTTAACATCCTGATAGCAATGAATATCTTAAGTGCTTTGACAAAAGATCCATAAAAATGTCATCTGTGGAAGCCGTAGTACTGTAAAAAGCACGACCAATCATTTTAGCCGGCCCGGCTAAACTAACTGGATGGCCTACCTGCCTGTCAGCCTTCCATCTGTGCACAAACTTATCTCGTGCCCTCATTGGTCATGTGCACGTTGTGTGTGTTGGAGGAGGGGCTCTGTAAGGAAGTGGCAGATTTTTTCCGGCTATGTATTTTCAAATTCTAGCGCACCTCACCTTTAAGGTATTGTGTCATTATTGAAAGTCATACTTTGTTGAGTTAAGTTTTCCCTACGCTTTTGTTTGACAAAACCCTAAGATAAGTACAGGTGATGTTAACACAAACAGATACACTCCTTTATACCATCTGACTTGGCCATGTGTGGATTGATTTTATAACATAAGCCACACAATATGCCTAAGGGATTGTCTTACAGGGCATACATATGCCATTCAAATTACACACAATTAGCCCATGCACTTACCAACCCTAATGATTCATAATTGTACATAGAGGACATATTTTGTTTAAGGGGAAACAAGTGTCAGAAATTAAACCAAATTAAACTTATTGGATCCTGGTCTCAATGATGATATACATGTTGCATGTGCATCCCCAATGTTTTTAACAGACAAAATAAAACATAATGACAGCCATGTTCACCTATTTCCATATATGATATGTTTCTTTCTGTGTAATCTCCTCATCTTATTTCATAGTATCACCAGGCTATGTGATTCCCTCCCATTGATTGTTACTACTATATTTGTGAAGCTACTCCTTTGTATTCTGTTTGTTGTCAGCCCCGACAAAGACCTTGGTCAAAACATGTTGATTTTGTCATAATTAAGCTGCTACAATAAAAGGCATTCTAACCTTTACTTCCTTGTTGTGTCATATTCTTAAATTATGAAGTGCCTTCTGGTTTATTTATTTATGTGAGTTTGCAAGTTAAAAGATCCAAGAGCATGCAGATGTATTGTTTGTTATATTTTTTAGATAACAAATTATTCGTAAAAAAGAAAGCAGAGCCATACTGTATGTGACAATTCTACACAACGTTCTGCTGTGTTTAGTTCGTTTTTTTAAGTTAAAGACCTTAGACATTTTCTAAATGGTGATAATGCTCATGCCTCATCAATACAAGGTTTAGAAGCTTTTCAAAAGATTGCATAATTCAGTTGCAGAAAAGCTGTTTCCCATTATGCGCCTCTGTTGGCTGTGAAGTGGCAAAGGAAGCCTGACTATTCAAAGGAAGGGCATCACACTTGACTAAGTGAGAGACTATGTTTCAATGTTAAATTCAATTTCATGACGGGCAGAACGTTTTTCCTCCCTCTAGCTTCCAACACTTCATGCGTCTTCACATTCTGCATGAGTCATTTAAAGCAATGACAGAGGCCTTTCTAGAAAACGGGAACTACACAGACTGTTCTCATATTCTAGTCACATAAGCAATTAAAAAAATTCAATCCACCTACTTATTTTTTTACTCGTTACTGGTTTGCTTCTTCTCTTCAACCCTTGATATATAGCCATTTTTTCCTTTTGCATTGCTCTCCACACAGTCCTCTCTTTTCTGTTGACATTTTAACATGGATCCATCCCTTCTCATACCATCTTTCTTTTTTTTCCACTCACACTGTCTGTACTGTGTGTATTAAAAGGCCAGCAATTCATCACAGAGTCAGAGCAGAGTGCAGTCCCTGCTGCACACCAGTGTTCAGGCTACTTTTCTGCCAGCCGTCCAGAACTAAAATCAATCACCCAAACCTGAGACACTACCATCAGAGAGGGCCAGACAAAGATAGAAGAGAGAGGGAGAGACAGGGATAAAGCTAGGGAGGTGGGGAAGGCTGGAGGTGGACACATGGAGGGACAGAAAAACGCTGAGAAGATTAAATACACATTTCCTGGGCTGATGACGATCAAAATGCCTTTAACCAGAGTCAATTGCGCTTTAATGTGATTTAAGGGCAAATATACTAGATGGATAGTGGCCTGGATAGACTAAACAACATTCTGGCGTCATTATAATGTTGTATCTGTGATGTTTTTGATGTAGCTGTTTATTCTTCAAACCGACCACACAAACACAACATGGGAGTGTGGGCTGATTCCTACCAGCTGAGTAGATGTGATGTCATTGCCTGTGGTTTTTGTGGTTGTAGTTACTTTTCATGGCTCGGTCATGTACTTTTTTCAGCCAGAAACCCCAAACGTGGCATTATTACGCACACAGATGCCTACTTAAAAACGTCATAATGCCTTACAAATACTTGTGTACCCCCCTCTCTAGCTCTCTTTCTTTCCTCTCCATAGTACTGAATTCTGTAATCAAGGCTAATGGGACTCAGCTGTTGGCCAGTCCAATTACCTGGAATGCAGAGGAATGATCTGGGAGACAGGCACGCACGCACACACGCACCTTCAATATTGAAGTATTTATCTCTCATGCACCTGCCACTCAGAAAAGTGTGGGTGTGTGTTTGTGGTGTGAGCCAGCATGCGCTTGCTTGCCAGAGGTGTGAGCTTGTTGACAGAAGTATGTGTACATAAATGCATGCATTTTTCAAAGGTCAATAAAAACTCAGGAAACATTTCCATTCCATCTCCATGTCAAGCGTTTCAATAGTGAATGGCATGCCAGAGGAATGTTCTTTTGCTAAATGTAAATACGATCTTTTTTTAAATTTTCCTTTAAAACTGAATAATTCCAGTTATTTTCCAAAAGGGCCATCATTTCCCATCACATTCTCTTAAGTCTGTTTACTTCTAACCAAGTTTCTCCTCTTTTGAAAAATACTAACATCCTTAAGTGGCGGCTTTAAGAGGTTAGGTTGATGGATTTTTAAGAATCACTCAGAGTAAAGTGAAATAACCTTGAGCCGGAATTCTAAATCATTTATATTTAGAGATTCTTTTAAACATATTTAATTTCAAAGCTATGAAGGATCCACATGTCAAGTCTACTAAAACTCTTACAAAGTTTAATATAAAGGGATCAAGAACTTGTACATTTAAGAGTCCAAAAGGGGTGGATTGAATTGCTGTACAGAGTATAACACACTCAACAACAACAGATAATGAAAGTAAATCCCATTCCGCAGATCCAATCTGTACATAATAAGGAACAACAGAAAAGAAAGCATTGACTAGAGTTGATTGTTAATGAAAAGAGAGATTTTGAAACAATGTCTGATAATGTGCTTGCGTGTTATGTGGGGCCTTGTCAACCTGATGTTGTCTGCTGCCTGAAAAGAGAGCAGGCTTCAGGGAAATCCTTGCTCTAAATGATTAATGGAGCCTGGAATCAAGGAGGGGAGTTGTCTCTGATTCTGCAGGTACACACCCTGTTTACGCTTTTCAGAGAGAGTTAACGATGGCAGCGTCAATACAAATAGACATTTAAAATATATAAAATCACAGGGATAAACAGAGGTGTCACACTGGGTTAAGATAATCCAGGTAGGAGCAAGGGTGGAGGAAGAGAAGCGTGGATTAATGGAAATGAGATAGATGAGAATGTGATGAAGGGAAGGGACTGAAAACAGAATAGAAAGATTGTTTCGTCAAATGTAACTGCAGCAAACATTATGCAGTGTACTGCATAATGTTGGAATATTCTTAAGTTAAAGCCAAATATTTATCTATAAA